TGTTCAGAAGGCAACCAAGCAGGCATACCAAAAGTACCGCCTCATGACAGTATTCCAACGGCTGTCGCTTTCTTTTCCCTACGACAGCCTTGAGATTGAGCTATAAGCGACAGCCCACAGTGAGGCTGTTATACGACATGCAACGTTGCCGTCTTGTGCAGTACACGACAGCTCGTTCTCAGTCATGTATTTTGTTCGTTCGGCTATGACAACCTCGGAAGGTCATTCGTAACGTTCCTCGTACATACAACAAGCAGTCCGTCGAACTGCCGATTCGTTGCTGCTGTCTTTGAAATTTTGTTTGTGTGTCGTAAGACTGCTACTACACTACCAGTGTGGCGCCGGAGCTCGTTCGGTGTTGCTATCACGTTCGTGCTGCCCATTGCAAAATTTTCATCCGATATTTTTTTTTAAAAACGCGCGGTCTCCGGCGAAAAATATAAGCCTACCCGACACCAACCTGACTTCTACCAAACCCCAACCCGATGTTGGCCCGACATTGACCCGACATAAACGCATAATTGACCCGACATCGACCCGACATTTGGCCGACGTCGACCATAAATTGACCTTACATTGATCCGACATCGGGCCGACATATCTGTTCGGGATCATTCTTCTGGGTTTCTTCCATACTCCACTGCCGTATTTCAATTGTATATAATGTCTCGTGACAGCCTTTTCGTGATGTCGGGATGTCGTCGATTTGTGAAGGCTGTTACGACAGAAACATTGAGAACCTGGTCATAAAGAATTGTATAAATACAGCCCATTCGGTTCACTACGTTCCAAGCACGATGATTTTAGCAAAGCGGGTATAGATGCGACTGTTCTAATACAGCTTTCATTCGTTCGTGCGTGCGCTGTTGCCAATACACTTCGAATTCAGATCTGAACGTACGGTAGCAAGCGGCAGTAAAGCACACAAAGCAACAGTCAATTCAGGTATAAACCAACTGTCGCGAGGAGGCTGTACTATTTGGAAGCCTGCAACCAAGCTCGACTATAGTCGCTATATTCATAGTCAGGCGGATAGAATTTCGATCCATCAAAATGCGGAACCAATTCAATATATTGTAGACCAACAATTGAAAAGGCACTATCAACTTTTATAAACAAAACGTTGATTATTCTTTCCTCGCCAATCGAGCACAAATTACCGGCATCATCGGATAGGGGAAACTTTCCTCAACCCAAAGATGGTGTTAGTTTGCGTAGGCAAGCCTTGAGTCACGAGAAAAGGGTTTCCGAAGTTTTGTTCGCAATAGCTGATGTGCTCTTTTCTGTTGTTGGTCATGATTTGCTCGATTGGTTCCGCTATTTGAAGGCTCAATTGGTTCCCGAGATTCTATCCGCCAGACTATGAATATAGCGACTATAAGCTCGACTACCGTTCCAGAGAAGTAAAACAAAAACATCAAAGGTTCTGCAGCTTGTACATTCCGACCTGTGTGGGCCGGTAGAGGTTCCGTCATTGGGTGGCAATCGTTATTTCATTACGTTTGTGGACGAAGCATGCAAGCGAGTTGTTGTCTATTTCCTGCAAACAAAGAATCAAGCGTTTAAGGCGTTCAAATTGTTTTAAGCAAAGGCTGAGCGACCGACGGATAAGAAAATCAAGATTCTTCGAACCGACAATGGACGGGAATACCTTAGCGACAAATTTCGACGAGCTTTGGAGGACAATGGTATACCGTCATCAGAAGACCTGTCCTTATACACCGGAGCAAAACGGTACGGCGGAAAGGATGAACCGCACATTGGTGGAGAAGGCTCGCTGTCTACTAAACGATGCACGACTAAAGAAGGAATTTTGGGCAGAAGCGGTATCAACGGCAGCATACTTGGTGAATCTCTCTCCTGCTATGTCCATCGGAGGGAAGACTCCTGAAGAAGTATGGACAGGGAAAAAGCCAAGCTTGAAGCATTTACGAGTTTTCGGTTCAAGCGTGATGGTCCATAAGCGTAAAAAGTTCGATCCAAAGGCGGAGAAAGGTGTGTTTATTGGATATTGCGAAGATACCAAGGGCTATCGTGTATACGATCCGGAGCGCAACGATTTCATAATCAGTCGAGATGTAATCGTGATCAGCGAAAGCATTCCAAAGTCGGTTGCAGCTTGTGAACATGATTCGAAGTCAGTCGAATTCATGGAACTATTCACAGAAAAAGTCGTAGTGCCTGATGAGAACGAAGTCAGCTCTGACGACGAAGAAGAATCAGCGTACAGCAGCTCAAGCACGATTTCGAAGATGCCTGCAACGAACCTGCGCTCCCACCGCAACAAACAAGACCAATTGAAGAAAGTCAACAAAGGTTGAGGCGCAGCGGTCGGGAGCGCGTATACCCAGGCAAGTATGATGATTTTGTTAGTTATGGTTCCTTTTCTGGTGATGATTTTCTCACCCAGCCATCTGATTCATCAACGATCGATGTTTCCATGGAGAACGATCCACAATCCTACGACGAGGTCATGCGGTGACCTGATCGAAAGCTGTGGATACAAGCGATGAAGGAAGAAATCGCATCGTTGGACCAGAATCAGACGTGGATGTTAAGCGATCTACCTGAAGGACGTAAGGCAATCCGTAATAAGTGGGTTTTTAAAACTAAGCGTGGACCCGACGGCAACATACAGCGATACAAAGCGAGACTCGTGGTGAAGGGTTGCTCGCAGAAACCAGGAATCGACTATGAAGATGTATATTCTCCGGTAGTACGTTATTCAACAATTCGCTACCTCATGGCACTGGCAGTGAAGTTTGATTTTGATGTGGACCAGATGGATGTGGTCACTGCGTTCCTGCAGGGTGAGCTAGGCGATGAAGAATTGTACATGATGCAGCCGGAAGGATTCGATAAGGTCAACGGCAAGGTGTGCAGACTCAAGAAAGCGCTGTACGGCCTCAAGCAGTCGAGCCGTGTATGGAACGGAAAACTGGATGCCGTATTGCGAGAATTCGGACTGCAACGATCACAAGTAGATACGTGCCTGTACTGGATCCTGGATGGTGACATTATGCTATTTGTGACGATATACGTAGATGACCTGCTCATATTTACAAACAACCTGGCGTTGAAGAAGAAACTGAAGAAATTTTTGATGAAGAAGTTTCAAATGAAAGACTTGGGTGAAGCTTCACACTGCCTGGGACTTCGAATTGTCAGAGATCGAGTGCAAGGACATCTTTCGTTGGACCAACAATCTTATATTCAAGAGATAATCCAGCGCTTTGGGATGATGGACGCTACTCCTGTAGCAACACCAGCAGATCCAAGTCTGAGACTGGATAAATCGATGTCTCCCAAAATCGCTGAGGAGGTAGCACAGATGTCAAGAGTACCCTTCAAGGAAGCAGTTGGCTGTTTGTCATATGTAGCGCAAACTAGTCGACCAGATATTGCGTACGCTGTGAATGCTGTGAGTCAATTCTCTGCCAACTCTGGTAGACAACATTGGGAAGCAACCAAGCGTATAATACGATACCTGAAGGGAACAGCGCAGAAAAGGTTGATGTACACTAAGGACGATACTGGAGGCCTTCAAGGGTATAGCGATGCTGATTGGGGAGGAGATCCTAATGACAGAAGATCGACAACAGGTTACTTGTTCACCATGCAAGGGGCTGCCATATCCTGGAATGTGAAAAAAGCAACCAACCGTAGCCCTTTCATCATGCGAGGCGGAATTCATGGCACTTTCGCGGGCCATTCAAGAGGCGATGTGGTGGAAGAATCTGCGTTCGGAGCTAACAGAAGTTGAAGCAATGCCAATCTACTGCGATAATCAGTCGGCAATCAGCATCGCGAACAATGGTTCGTATAATCCAAGAACAAAGCATGTTAGTATTCGCTACCATTTTGTACACGAAACATTGGAGCAGCAAACAGTGAAGCTCGAATACAACTCGACAGCAAACCAACCTGCGGATGGATTCACGAAACCGATGACCCTTTTGAAGCAAGCTAAGTTACGCCAATTCATAGGCATCACGGATTAAGGAGGAGTGAAAACCAAGTAACCCGCGATTGTGTTACGTTAGCAAGTATTTAGAGAATAAAACGCTGGCCAGACTGGAGAGTTATAACATGTTATAACGGTTTTTAAAATAATTGCAACACAGAAACCACCATCAAGATAGCGCTATAACATGTTATAACTCTGTAGTCTGAACGTACTATAATACCCCGTTCACATTACAGCGTATATCACGTGATATACGCTGTCTTGCAATGAGCACTAATACATCTAGTTTTCACTGGAAATCCTATATATGAGTGCTCATTGCAAGACAGCCTATACTACGTGATATAGGCTGTAATGTGAACGGGGTAAAAACGTTCATTCCACTTTGTTCCTTCAAACCTGAAGCACCGTTTTTCCTTTTAACTCTGCAAGAATAAATCCTGCTAAACTTAAACTGAAATGGTTATGGAACTTTACATGAACCTTTGTGTGATAAAGTTTTAACCTTATATGTATTATGGTTTTTTGGAAGTAAACCTTACAAATAATGGGTTGTTAAGAACCATTACCATTCAAAATTCTTGTTATCTTCATACATTTTCGGAAAGAAAACTATATAAGATCCTTTTTACTTATGGTTTGAGAATTTTAATGGTAATGGTTATGATAGTCAGTAAGGTAATGGGAAGGAAGAAGCTGCAAAGGGAGTTCTGAAGGAGCAAAGGAATTCTTAGAAGAGTTTAAGAAATTCCAATTACATGTTCACAAGATTCAAAATTAACTGATATATTCAAAATGTTGAACATCGAAATGGTTTTATTTTTAGATCGTGAACATAAACTAAATCATGAATCTGAGAGTTCATTTTTTAGAACTCTGGCAGAAATTTGGAAGATCTTGGAGTATTTGCTTGAGCCACATTTAAGGCGGAAAGGCTACCCTCAAGGCTCACGCAGATGCGTTAATTGAGTGCTTATGAATTTTCAGGAATGAATATGCCAATCTTTGCACTTGGTAGTCAAGTTAATTCAATTGTTTACTTTTATTTTATAATATTTTTTAACACCTACAATCATTAACTCATCTCCGCCGCTACCACTCTCAGTTCATCTCCGTCAATCCGGGTCGAGCGAATCTTGACTTCTGTTGCCTCGTCGGATTAAACTTGTTAAACTGCTGCGAACCTCCCCGGGTACGGTAGCTTTCTGCCAAATTGCTAGGAGGGTCCCTTCGCTGGGCGGTAGACACAATCTCCTGACACAACAGCTCGTCCAACGAATTCTCCGAAACGTGACCATTGGCTTCCAGGTATTCTATCATTCGCTGCAGATCCTGCGGCACTTCGGACTTGCTCGATGCTAGGGCATCTTTCACTTTTTGAACCACCTCGCGACAGAATGTATGGCGCTTCTCCAGAGGACCTCCAACTTCCAACACCGACCGGAACACCGGAATCAAATCGTCCAAACGTTGCATGGCGGTGAGTGCCAGAATCTGTAGGAAAATAATAATGTTAAAAATTATCGTAAATTGCGACACCGACATTTACCCTCAATTGCCGGATGGTAACGTAGTTCCCTTTGGTGACGGTGCCAACAATTTCCAGCGTAATTCCTGGCTGATTGTGCTTCAGAGCCAGTGCCGCCGCGAAAGCCGTTGCCTTCCTCATCGGGATGTGTCCGACTGCGTTCAGTTCCTTCCACAGGTCCATCGCGTAGCGGAACGATTCTTCGGTGTTCTCCCGGTAGCAAGCGGCGAACGTAAGCGTGACCGAGTGTTTCGGATAACGGCCACCTTGAACCTGACGCGTTTTGATCAGATCGAACATCTCCCGCACCTGGCCGTACAGGCCGTTCTCGTAGAGCAGATCGCCGAGGATTTGATACGACGAGAGTTGATCGAAAAAGCCGTTGTATTTTTCTTCCTTGAACAGCTGGAACGCCAGAGCTGGATCTTTCAGGTGGTACAGCGCACGCATCACTACCGGGCCGAAGATGTAGTTGCCGAAGCGGAGTTCCTGGGCTTGGCCGTTGTATCTGGATCGGGCAGAGATGTTTTGGTATGCGGATAAGTTCAATGTCAAAGTAAATGGTGTGAACCCTGCATGATTTTAAATTATTTTCTCGGGATGGTACAGGGGGTAAATTTAAAATTGCTACCGTCACGAAAAGGTGCTAGGTTTTGAACGCTTATAACTTTGTCATATATGGATGAAATTAAAATCCAAATTCACCAATTGATAGGTAATAACTCTTCGCATCTGACGTTTGCTTATGAATTTTCTCATAGGAGTAAAGATCTACAGAGTCGCCGTCAACGTCAATACGATGAAGCAGTGGAATACAAGAAGTAGCCGGTGCCGGTGGTGTAGTGGTAAGCGTGACTGCATTCTCACCCCAATGGGTCTGGGTTCAATCCCAGTCAAGGTCGGTGGGATTTTTCTGAGGCATAAAAAATCTCTGGTCACGTCTCCTTTCGGAAGAAAAGTACAGCCGATGGTCAAGGCCCATGTTTGTTGAATGGGTGCGATATCCTACGCAGATGTGGAAGCTGCCTTCCTGCACATTCGATTTCCGTCAATTGATGGCAATCGATGTCCGTCGGTGATTGGCAGTAGATTGGGGAACAGAGACTGACGTTAAATAAAGGAATGAAGAAGAAGATGAACCAGTGGAATCCGAACCAAGTTGACGATCCAGATACTGCACCCCAGCTGGACAAACTGATACCGGACTGGCTCGACTGGAGGATCCCACCGGGAAGACGATCGAGTTCCTCCGACCGCTGCAGCTGCTTAGCAAAGACAACATCGAAACGCATCTGAAATCTACAGCCGCTGTGACAAGCTGCTGCTAATGTTGAAATCGCTTGAACTCATCCGGGGATCCAAATCAGCTGCGGGGATCAACGATGGCTATCTGTAGAGAATCGAAACAACACAAATGCATGGTTTGAGGTGACCAAGGTACCAACTGGATGTGCACAAACGGAATGAAGCGCTTAATCGGCGGATTTGAAGACCCTGTTGAAGACGGTGAAGAATGCGACGAAAGCGTTCCGCTACTAAAGGCTGGCTTCTTCAGTTTTGTCACCGCGGATCAGGTGGATGGTCTGCAAAAATCGATTCCTGCTGGCGATTGTTTTCACCATTGTTGCCTTTTACCACTACCAAGTCTGGGTCCAGAATCCTGCAGCCACAATAAACGACAATCCAATTAGAACTAGCCTAGCCGATTTCAAAGCGTTCAGATCGAAAAACTACAGAGTACCTAAGTAACTTCTAAGATCATGACAATTTCTAACCATGGGTGCCAAAAAGTGCCAATGAATGTGCCATGGTGTGCCCTACTGTGTTTTCGGCACACTGTGCTGAGTGACCAACCCCTTGGGTTGTATACTATTCTGAAGATTTCCAGCTGTTAAAAAATAAAAAGACCTCTCATAGATATTCTCCCTAGTCAGCAGGTTCATCAGGGACTACTCAAAAGATCTCTAGTCGATTGAAGAAATCAGTAAAGTCTGTTGGATATGTTATGAAAACTTCAGGTTAATCGTGTAGAACTCTGAAGATCTCCATCTGTTCAAAAGTTCAAATGACAATCCTCAGGCATTTCCCTAAGAAGGTAGGTTAATCAGAAACTATTCAAAAAATCTTCAGTTAATTGAAGATTTCAGTAAAGTCGTGTTAGGTCGATCAAGTATTGGACATTTTGAGATTTTCAGAATAGTACCAACCAACCAGAACACCACAATAGTAAAAATCAACCAGATGTCTTCAGAATAGAACATGAACAGCCTAAAGACTTGGAAAAATATCCTGAGTACTTTATGGAGATCTCGGATTACCTGAAGGGTTATGACATAATTTCTGAGTTGCTTGGAGAGAATGAGAATGAGAAAATACCTCAGGAATGTGATTTGGATTGCTGATTATTTATGGAGATCGCTGGTCTCCTGATGGTCTATAAAACAATTTCTGAGCAACCTGGTATCGTGGGTGAATATCTGAGAGATGTGATTTAAGATGTTGAACAGTGGAAGATCTTCAGAATAATACTTGATCAACTTGAAGACTTGAAAAAAAACCATGAGAAATTTTTGGAGTTCTCTGATCACCTGAAGGTTTTTGGAAGATATTCTGAGTCACCTGGCATCATGAGAGTTTGAAAGAATAGTACCTGAACAAACTGAAGTCTTGAAAAAGTATCCAAAGGACTTTAAATAATTTCTGAGCTGCCTGTTATCATATGAGAAAATCGAGGAGAAAATATCTTAGACATGTGATTTGGATTGTTGGATAGTTGGATTTTTTCAAAATGATCCTCCTGACGTAACCTGAGGTTATCATGGGGATATCTGATCACCTGATGGTCTTCGGAATAATTTCTGAGCAACCTGGTATCATGGGAGAACATCTTATAAACGTGATTTGAATTGTTGGATAGTTGAAGATCTTTAGATACCTGATCAATCTGAAGCCTTGAAAATTGTCTAGAGAACTTGATGGAGAACGTAGAACACCTGAAGATCAAAGTTGGTTGGAAATGTTATCTAACATGAAGCTTTGTTAGTATGATAATTTATTAGCTAGAGAATGGTCTTAGAAGAGGGTAGGTAGATAGTTCCGTTAGAGTACGGCAGTATGAAAATTGAATAGAAGTTGAAAATGAGCGAAGGGCCAATAATGCGACAGTGCAAGTCAAACGCACACTTCTTTGCCTAACCCGTACGATGCACGCGGAGATTTGAAGTATGTCTTCAAATCTACAGGCAAAAAAGTTTGCGCTTGACTTTGCTCATATACTGTCTGCGGCTATGGAATAGTTCTAGCGACGTCTCATCACATTTCGTTGGAATATTTTCTGAGCAGCCTGGTATAATATGAGATAATATTTGTTTGATGTAAAAGACGCAAGCACTTTCATGCAATTCTGTGAAGAACCATGAATTTCCATGAAGTTCTATAATATACTATGAAATTCCCAGAACTTCTATGATTTTCCACGGTCTTTTATGAAATACCTCTCCCTTCTATGAAATTACCTTAACTTCAATGATTCTCACTGTGAAACTTGTTTAACATACAAGTTCCATAAAGTTTACTGTTCTCCATGAAGTGCTCCGATTTTTGTGTGAAGCTCTTCATATTTTTATGAAGTCCTCTGAGCTTCTATAAAATATCCCAACCTTCTCAGAAGTTCCCAAAAATTCTGTAAAATTCTCTCAACTACTATGAAGTTCTCTGAACATTTAAGATAAACATCTTTAAATACATTCAAATAAATTTGAAACAGAGTTCCATTCGTGTTTTAAATCTGCTCAGAAATAAAACAGATTAGTCGAGCAGTTGCAAATTGACCACTTTATTGTCAAGCAGTTTTGGCGCAACTTTCTACCAGCTATTCCACAAAACTAGACCAACTTATTTATATTTTTTATGAAACGCACAAATGATGGCTACTTTTCTCGTGGTTCTAGAAGAAAAAAATCTCAAAATAATGTTTTATTTCAAAGTTCGAGTGGTAGTAAACGTCATTTTAACTGCTCGAATGAAGTGGTTAATAATGAAACTGCAACTCCGCATTGCAAGGGGTCCGTTTCTGTTCTAATTTCAAATTTAAATAGTCCATATAAAATACAACAGCATTGCGAACGGCTTAACATCGAACGTGACTCACGCTTTGGTGGTGAGTGCTGCCAGAAGCAGTACAAAACACCGAATGAACCACTTCGTTCGAGCAGTTAAAATAACGTTTACTACCACTCGAACTTTGAAATAAAACATTATTTTGAGATTTTTTCTTCTAGCCTCGAGAAAAGTAGCCAACATTTGTGCGTTTCATAAAAAAATAGAAATTAGTTGGTCCAGTTTTGTGAAATCGCTGGTAGAAAGTCACGCCAAAACTGCTTGACAAAGTGGTCAATTACAATATTGGTGGTTAGAAATTTGAAAAGATTTTTAGACTAAATTCGGGTCAAATGGATGAAATGTCGCCTCTTTACTTGTAACCATATGAAACGTCGAAAGGCAAAATAAGGATTGTTCATCATTAAACCGCATTAAGCTTACTTGTCGATCATGTCCACCAGCAGCTTCTTATCCCCGGCACTATCGTCGGCCAGATGGATGATGTTCTTCAGGTCCTCGGTGAAAATCATATTCGAAGCCGAACCGGCTACAAAGTCTCGCATCTTCCGCTTGAAGTTGTCCACATTGTGCATGTGCTGGGTACGGGTTTTCTCTCGGTAATTTTCGTACCCATCCAAACCGAGCACCGAAGCGGAGTACAAACTGCGCGCACCATTGCCGGTATTTGCTGCGGGTGTTAAATCTTAAGTATTAAACGGAATCTGTCGGTAATCTACAGTTTTCAACTTACCGGAACTACCCTGGCGGCATAAGGACACTAAACTTCTTCGCAACATGATTTAAAAAAAGCAAAGCAAATGCTAGAAATTCAATATTTCCTATACAAGAATCGTTCAAAGCGACGGCAATCTCGCAATCACATAACACTATTTTGACATAACCTTCAGCACGTGAAAGTGTCCCCTTTGACGTTTCGGCACGAAACGTCGAAAGCATAAAACATCGCACCGACATAAATTGAGTGACTGTTGTTTGTAAACCGACGATCCTGATCTGGATGCGCCGGGCGTGTAAACACAAACAACTCTCAGAAAACAACACCCACTTTTCACCTCAGAGCCGATCGTTTCAGGCGCGGATTTTTCCCGATAAAGCAGGATGTATCAAACGAATCTCAATCCGATTACCACGCTCAACAGTACCAAAGTGTTTCCGTCGATTTCGCAGCCGAAGATCGTGGGATGCTTCAGCGTCGGCCCCAGTAGGGAGTTCATCGCTTCCGGTGAGAATTTGAAGTACCTTAATCTCCCCAGCAGCAGCGAGACCGACAAGCAGCTGCAACTGGATCTGAACGAGGGATTCGAGATCCGGGTGCCCAAGCCGGACAGTGCCAAGGAGGAACGGATTGACCATTTGCTGCGGTTTATCGTTGGGAATTTAGGCCAGCTGCGTGAGCGAAGCCCATCAGAATGCATCGATGTGGAAGGACGCGGGTCGAAGGTCTTGAGCTGCGATTTTGTCTGCTTCCGGGGGCTGCTGCGGATGGTGATGTGTACCCCGTACGAACGGAAGACCAATTGGATCGTTTTGGCTACCCGGTACAGGGGCACGATTTATCTCTGTGCCAAAGATACGACCGAGAAGCTGCAGGAGGAAGCGAACCAGACCGAGCAGCAGAAGCGGTTCTGCTACTACGGGTTCAAGTTCGAGCAGCACGTTTTGACTGGTTAGTCTCTGACTCTGCTGGAATTGCATGCACCAACATTTTTATTTCGTTTCAGATGATCTCCACCACCGCCCAGACACCTCCGCCCCCGTCCAGGAAGCGGAAGAATTCTGCGCACTTTTCAGCACTACCCTCGAGGGAAAAAGGCTCCTGTATGGAGCGGAAATGGACGGCATCGTCAGCAGGGACCCGATCGATAAATCCAACCTACCACCGGACCTGCTCAATCGCCTGGAATTTGTCGAGGTGAAGGTAAAGCGACGCGAAACCAATCAACGCCAGGTGGACAATTTCCATCGGTTCAAAACACGGAACTGGTGGTGCCAAAGCTTCCTGGTGAATATTGGGAAGATTTTCGTCGGACTGCGCGACGACCGGGGGATTGTGGACGAAATCCGGGAGATGAACCTGAAGGAGCTCGATCGGGACTCCCGGCAGTTTTGGTCGGCGTCGGTTTGCGTGAACTTCGGTTCGCAGTTCCTGGCCCAAGTCACCGAAGTTATGCGCGGAGCGGACTGCAGGGACACGGTCTACCGATTCGAGCACGATGCGAACAAGTTTGGAAATATATTCTACAGTGTCTATGAGGGACGGAACGAGGAATCCTTTCTCCCCGATTGGTACTGTGCTGTGGTGAAGTAAGTCGGAACGGGTGTCAACTTTTACTGACGCAATGATGACGGCCTTTTTTTTCGGAAGGTTAGAAAGCTGAAGGAAAACCAAACAAAAGTTTTGATTTTACTCATTTACTTGCATTATCAGTTCTTTATCGGTTTCTGCTTGGTTTCTTTCATTTTTTTATTATTCCTGTGACTCATTTGCCTATTTATATGCGATGAAATTCAATTGGAGAAATTATCGCTTCTGTTTTGTGTTGGATGTTCAAATTTGGGTAATCATCTAAAATCGGAGAATTTATAAATTTTGCATCTTCTGTGTTAGGTAGTAATTAAAACAACAATTTTGATAGTGTACAATTTGCCTATTTTATATCTACTAGTATTTCTATGAGTTCTTCTGTTTCTCAATCTGTTCCGACAGGAAATCTACGGTATCCATTCATCAGCTCCCACAATTAGTAGTGTGTGTGTGTGTGTTCCAGTATAAATACACCTTAATAATTAGCTTTTCGTCCACTCTTGATTCACGTCTTCATTGATCATTTATTAAATTAATGATTAAACTCACTATTTATGACTACTATAACAACAGTATCTTTAGTTTCTGTTTTATTTTTTTGTGTGTTTTTTTTAATAATTTTCGACTGGATTTTTTGTCTTGCTTTTTTTTTATTCTTCAATTTTGTTCCTGCTATGATACACAATTCCCAAATATGATTAAAAATAATAATAAAAATACAACAAAAAAGAACCTATATACTTCGTGTTTTTTCTTTCCTTTTTGCACTTGCGCATTCTTGTTCACGTGCCGCGTAATTTGACAATTTCCGAGACGTAGTTGCATCATCCGTTAGATTTTAATATCTGCAAAGTAATGAACAGGTAGAAATGGTTAATTCAACATGTAGCAATTGGATCAGAGATAATTGAAATTGTGTAATTTCCAGTGTAAAATTTATGATGCTTATTCATCATCAGCTTGACTGATTTCCCATGCATATATGTAACTCCATTGTACATGGGACAATTATGCGTCCACCGGGCAGTATGGTACTTAGGCTGTTTCATTTGGTGAATTTCAACCCGGGGACAACTCCAGTATATTGTCAGTGTACCCCGACAATTTGGTGCTTGTGGTTCAGTCAAACTCACAAATATCAGAATTGCCTTCTGAATGGGACGAATACGGAAATGATTTTATTATTTTGTTTTCCTTGATTTGTTTTCCGTCGATCTTGTTTGAAATTTTGAAAAATGATAAATCCTTAATTTTTACAGATTCGTAGAAAAATGTCCTATCCATTTGCGTATTCAGGATTAAAATCCATCATCTCTGGATCAAAATCAGACCACTTTCATGCCGCGACCGACTTTGGATTCTGAAATTGCACTGTCAATGTTGCCTTAAAATATATGGTATGTTAGATTTAAACATATGGGAGCTGACATCCGATTGATGACCTTGACAAATTTAAAAAAATACTCTATCAAATGTATGGTGGTCCTGAATAGGGCCGTTTTGCCGTGATGGTTGAGTAATGCTGAGTTATTAAGGTGTTCAATACGGATGAGGCTGGCGAGCTGTAAATTGTTTGGAACGAGGATGACGCGCTTCCCTAATAAAAAATATCCATAAACGAACGATAACCCAAAACATTGAACTATTCCACAAATGGTTTGGATGATACCCAGAACAGTCGTTAAGCAAATTAACCATACCATTTTTATTAGGGTTGGCATAGATGGCCCACAGCGACTCACGAAGATGGATTCCGGTCAGTAGCGGTGAGTCTTCTTCCTCCTTCTTCGGTGAATGGACGCTCATGTGGGCTGCAGCTCGCTGCTTGCGGGCAGCCTTTCGTTGTGTACAGTGTTCAACGCTACGCGCCGAAGCACTGCTGCTGTTGACGACCGACCGGACACAACCAAACACGGTGCTTGAATAAGAACCATTCAGTGAGACCGGATTGAATTCGATTTTGAAATCTGTTTTAGGGAATGCGCTGCGTGCAGGCAATCGGTGATAATTTTGTGATCACTATTGCAACAGTTGGACATTTGTGTAATTATCAGTAGTGACTTATTGAAAATTAATAAAGTGTTCAATTTAGCAAATTCGTAGCCAAATTTATAATTGATTGGCTTGTTTAAAATCCATCCACTATTGACAGAGTTATATCCAGAACAACATGTGAAAAGGGCATACAAGCTTTTTGTAAACAAACCTACAAACCCCTACCCGGTGATGTTAAAGGTTTGCGTTGGTGTCATATGGGTGGCGAGAAAAGGGCATAAGAAGGTTTGTTTACAAAAAGCTTGTATGCCCTTTTCACATGTTGTTCTGGATATGTGGTCAAAACCTGACCACTTTTCGTAAGGCGGACAATTATGGTTTTTTGAAATTGCACCCCAATATGTTGCCAAAACACGTAATCCTACGTCAAAATTCGTTGCGTTGCGTTTGCAACGGAATAATTCGTAGATTGCATACTGGCAACTGTCATGTATCTACTTTAAAGTCATTATAATTTCTTAAGGAAAACTATTTGGGAGTGAATAGCTTTCCATTCAGAACAGTAAAAGTATGACAATAGCCATTTCCGGCCAGCCCCATCTTCTCCGTTACGGGGAAAGCAAGGATATTGTTGATGTACCATCTACTTAACGAGAGGCCAGCGACTCACCAACGCCCTCATATATGCTACGGAGTTGGGTCAAGATTCGCTTAAGCAGGCGATGCGACCTTAGGAATTGTTTTATTTTGGAGGATCTTGGGAGTAAACCCACGATCTTCTACTCAGTAAGCAAAAGCGGCAGCCAGCAAGCTAGCCGAGCTCCTCAATTTAAACCCTGGGACATAATTTGGTAAAGTTTTTATGAATACTAATAGAATTATAATGTTTGCATGCAATAAAAAGGAAGGATCTCACCCGAATGATCTGGCGGGCGCCTCTTCGTGATTCTTAAGATCAATTGTTCTCGCAAATGGAGCTCCATCTCCTTGATCCTGATAAAAACAAAATCAGTTTCCCCTTGCTCTGGCCTCGGGAAGAAGTGCATCGGAATAAATGCACCGTCATTGCAGCATTGTCGATGAACCTCCAGATGTTGGCTCACGATCTCCGTTCCGATAAGCTCTAACTGTTCCACTCTCAGATTCAAACATTCGCAAGAAACTTCACAATTTGTTGAACACGGGAGCAAAATTCAAACACGTCACTTCTTCAGCGCGACCTACTTCGATCTCCGTTTTAAAAATCTTGAACTTGATACGGAGCAAAACATGTTTTCAAAGTATCTATGATTCTGAGGCTTTGACGTGTGTTTAGAGTCTTAAGGCCTAAGCGCAATGACGGCGGAAAAGCTCGATCTGAGTAAGCCTACTTGTCGGAAAGAAAACTAGTTAGATCTATGGGGAAGACATATAGTTCTGACATTAATTTTTGTAGTAATATTACAAAAATTGGTAGATATCATGATATTATAATACTATAATACTACATTATAGTAGCAATCTCCACCAAATGACAAATAAGTATTTGATTTTTAACAGTGTATAAAATAACAGATCTTTTCTGATATTTTTAACGCACCTGTCTTCAGCGCCAAAACGAAAACAATCGCCACCTCGCGAAAGGAATTATTATTTGTGATCAGTCAGGTTTTTGGCATTCATCATGGAGTAGCACTTGAGTTCCAATAAACGCTAGGACAAGGACCACATATAGTGCTGATCGTAGCCGAGGAATAGAAGTTGGTGTTTTCCTTGCCACAGCTGAAACTGATTTACAACTACAAGATGACGACGCATGAATTCGAGGTAAACATTAGTTCTAGCTTCGAAAAAGGTGACTGTTTTTTTGTTCGGTCGCTTTCAGAATCCACCGCATTGAAACACCGTTCCCTGTATTCATGTAAATCAGCAATTCCAGTTCAGTGTTCACTCGGCTGTCGACAAAAGTAGGCCACTCTCGATGTGTGCTACGCGATCGTCTGTTTTCTCGGCAGCAACCATTGTGTGGTCCTCCTCATTGTTCTTCATCAGCAGTTCTTTCGGTCGATGCGTCGTCGACTTTGGAAAGCAACCGTTTCGTGATGAGTGTGTGAGTGCTGACCACGTGTTGCGTCCATTGCTGCAATGGACGCGCTCTGACCCTTGTTGGCGTACAACAATTTGCCATACAATGAAACTACTGGAAGCGGCTCCAGTTCTGATGGAGGAGGCTTTTTGGATAGCGGAAGATAAAGTGTTTATTGTGTTGTACCTTTTGACTATAGTTTTAAAATGTATTGTATAGTGACCAAGAATCCTCGGCTCTGTAAAGTTAATTCGATTGAGCCTTATCAAATAAATTAATAAACAAGCAATTCCAGTTGCAGATGACCAGTAGTAGCCGATAAACGGTAGCAGCTCTTTCCATTTTTCAAGTTTCATATTTGGGAGAATTTTTTACCCAGGTGCGGTTCCCGATTCAGCTGAAGTGATTGGAAATCTACTGCCCATTATAACACACCGTCGCCGCCTGCCATGAAAGCCATCACGAAAACGTAAAATTTCACCTGGAAGGCCCCAATAAAGATCATCCCCTACACAAGAATAAAGTTTTATCCAGCGACTATCCTGCATCCCGATGGACCTGGTTAACACCCTCGAATACAGGACTCAACAAGGCTAAGCAATCGAGTGCTGAAAATTGAACAACTACAAATCGAAGCAGACCATGACGACGGTAACGAGGTGACAGCTTTCGATTCGGAAGAGGAAGATGCTTTTGCTCCAACGATAACGACCCCAGCGTGGCAATATCACTAAAAAGCTCCAGCATGCATAGCGGATGAAACTTGCGTCGTTCAGGTATGTTGTATATCCTTTATAGAGCGAGAACCCTGTTTCTCTTCAAACGATGTGGGCATTTGTTTACAAGTTTTCTCTCTTTCAGAACCGGCGACTTTATCTACGATGCAGAAAATATTGTGTTTTGCTGTGGCTAGCTGAGCGTACGCTGAGTAGATAGAAAGAAGATTTATCACGATTTTGAAGATTTCCTGCAAAAAGATGATGCGCGATGCAAGTAGATGCGAGAAAGGAAAGAAGATTTTTCGAAGATTTATTCGCTAGTGTGAGATTTTTTTTAGCATCTAGAATTGAGATTTAGATGTGTCGCCCCCCTCGGTGCTACCAGCAGTCCCATACGAAGGGTGGTGTCTGTGCAGAAGATGGCTAACGACATATTATACAGTGCTTTCCAACAAGTAGGCCACAGGGCCGAAAATCTATGACGTAAAGCTGATAATCCTTAACTTTATGTTTTTTTTTTAATAATCCTCAAAATTGAAAGATTTTACCCCATTATTCTGTCTAAAAAAAATCATTTTTCATTGTAGAAAAGTAAATAAGAAAAAAATGCAACAATAATAAATCAAAAATGTTTGTGTCTCAAGTTTTTCCAACTCCTAGTAGGTACATCAGAACTACTCATCGCATATTCCTTCTGCCGTGCCAAATAGAGGATCGTCAGTGTTGTGATTACCTCCGGTGATCTTAGCTAGAAGTATACGTGGGGAACTTGCGCCATGTGCATTGCCACTGGTCGAGCGTGTTTAAGAAATACCAGCTACCAACTTTGGCTGTGGACTACATCTACCTAACTGAAGTCGTGCATCATCACTGCCATGATAACCTCCTGCAATCTCACCTGGAAGCGGACTTAAGGAACTTGCACCATGTGCAATGACTCTGGTCGTGCTTGTTTCGCACAATTCAGTGACCGGCTCTGGCTGTGGACTAAATCCGCTTGCTTGAAGTCGAATATTATCAACGTCATGATCCTCTCCAACGATCTCACTTGGAAGTGGATTCATGG